TGTGGGGCTGGAAAAGGATTGTTTGGTGTGCCTGAGCTGGGAGGAGAGCTGGGAACACTTTGTGTGGAGTTCAGAGTCACACACCAATGCAGAATCTGGAAAATGTGAAAGCTAAAATTGAAGGCATCAACTCCACCACTTCCCTGGGCAGGCCATTATTTATCACCTTTTCTGCAAAGAACTTTTTTTTCCTAATCCCCAACCTGTGTTTCTCCTGGCACAGATTAGGATGACTGTGTCCTCTTCTTCTGCCTGGAGAATGAGAGCAAACCCCACCTGACTAAAATCACCTTTCAGAGCCCTCCCACACTCCCAGCTCGGGGTCACCTGCAGATTTATAAATGACAGACTCAATCCCCTCATCCATGTCATCAATAAAAATATTGATCAGGACTGGCCCCAGCACCTCTGAGGGTCACTAATTTTTCACACTTTTATAAGTTTGGTCCATTTACATATCAGGGGTTAATCCTCCAATTACAGCTTCAGTAATGAAGTTATTTACCCTCAGTTTGCTCCCTCCCAACTCACTTTTGTTTAGATTTTACAGGACCTGAGACAACGAGGTGTTACTGAGTTCCAGGCTTGGAGAGGAATTGTTTTGTGTGAATAAAATGGGAGAAACAGGAGCTGACAGGCTATGGAGTTTTAGAGTTATACACTAATGAAAAATAGAAAAGCTAAATCCTAAGGCATCAGGTAAACTGAGGGGAAAAACTGACCCCAAAGCAACTGGGGAAAAGATTCAGATTCAAACAGGTTCAGTCTTTTCCAGGATGTGTTGGATTATTTAAATAAGCAGAACAGGAGCCACCAAAACTCTTGTGAGAGGTGCAGGTGGTGAAGGAAAACAAATCCTTCACTGCAGAAAGAAGGGGCTGCTTCCAGGCACACAAAAAGGATCCCCAAAGTGCAAAATACCAAATTAATCTAGGAAAAAAAAGCACCTGCAATTCCTCTACAGAAACATCTAAATCACTTTTTCCTCCAAAAATCCCAGTGGGTGAAGT